GAGTGCTAATATGGGGAGTTCTATATTCTACAGCAATGTACTCACATCCACAACAAACAAATAACAGTGTCTTGAATGTGACTCCACTAAAAAAACAAACAACAAAATAGGAATACAAAGAGTTAACTACATAGTAAAGAGATGTGTGCAAAGAAATTCATAGTGCATTATCCTCTCCCCGAAACAAAGCCCTCTTTAAACAATGGCACATTTTGTTAGTTACTCCGGTTTACTGTTCAAATGCAGCCATTCGGTTTTAGTTTCATGAGCAGAGCGACGTTTTCTACAAGGTATGAGGAAATAGACTCACACTATAAGCTAGTAACGTGAAAAGCAAATCTAAAAAAAAGGAAAAGAAATAAGAAAACAATCCTTGAGATTGGAATGTTTAAATAATAATAATAAAATGAATGTTTACACGGTTAGAAAACCTGCAAGAAATTTAAGGAAGTATCCAAACACTTGTCAATATTTTCAGCATAGGCATGTTCATTCTGATATAGTGTTTGAAATGCAATGTTTGAGTTACCTCATATCCTTATACAAACCATAGACTTCAGTAAAGATACATCAGGGTAGGTGGGATACTATAACAACATTTAGCATATTGTTATACTATTCCACCCACCTTAATGAAGATCCTTTAGGTGTGGCGATGCCGTAGCCTTTGGAATCCAAATTCCCACCAACTTTCATGGTGTCACAGGGTTTCCTTTGTTCGATGTACTCATTCATAGTTGACTCCAGCAAGTAGGCATATTTTCCTTTGGACTTCCGTACTCGAGCTACCCCTTCTGCTGTAGTCCTCACAAACACAGATGGTTCTGCACTTTTCATATAGGTCCACATTTTATCAAATACTGCAATTTTAGATCTCTGTGGAGACAATATGAAGCCTAATTAACTAATCTTTATGTAGACAGCAAAAGCACACCTGAGAAAATATGATTATGTCATTTTTAGGCAAGTTTATCATCCAACGTTGAAAGAGAGCAGCACTTAGATTCTCTTTTTCTATTAATATTATGCTGTCATAGGGTATTTTTTTTGTATTTGTTACATCTGTTAAAGATTTGAAGCCAACAGTGCTACTTCCATTTTATAAGAGGTGTGCCAGAATAAAACATAAGATCTATACTGAAACTTCAGCAAAATATTTATCAGAAATTCCCACTCAAACAAGATTATCTTTTTTGCAGTTCGCTGCAGCTGTGCATTATGCAAACGAGACGTGAGCTGAAATGTGTCAGTGACACTAGAAAACTTCAGATTGCTCCACAGAGGAAACTAAGATTGCTGTGAAAGCCAAAGGGAACATTAATAGTGAGGCACCTGGTTCAAGGTTGTTCTTATTTGTAATACTCCACATGCCTCTCCAACTCAGCAGGTCAGAGATTTCCTTCAGAAAGGTTGTTACCTGAAGTATGTTTCTTTTGCTTTAACCAATTGGTAGTTATAACTATAATTGACAGTTTTAACTACCAACTGATTGTTATTTTTTAACTTGGGAAAAAATAGAGGAAAGCAGTTTGGTACCTAGATATCACCAGAAAGGAAGCAGTGCTACCAAAGATACAGCAGGCACAATGCAACATATGACAACTCAGGGTCAGACATTACTATTAGATGTGCAGGTATACAAATCTCTACCATGATAAAATGCAGTAGAGGCTCTTCTGTACTAGAAACATCTTACAAACCTCTGGACTGCAATTCTGCTCTAACATCTATAATCATACCATTTCAAAAACAAATGAATCAAGCGTAAAAGCATAAGTAATGGCCTCACTATCTCACAAGACTTCACTCTTCTTGCGGTACATTTTTCCAGACTTACCGTGATTTTCATGCTCAGAAATGCAGTCTAGGAAGATTTTGAGGCTCAGATTTCTCCAAGGTCTCTGTACATCTATTAGTGTGAAAGGTTCAGGCAGTACCAAGCACCACTAAAAGTTTTCCACCATCTCAATTTTCCAACTATTACCAGAATCTACATGCACCTTGGCACAGTTGGTGTGTTCCCTTGCAGACCAATTGTTGCATATTCTCATCTGTTGATCTTCACAATACTCAGTATACCCATATATATCAAAAGACTTGGATGCACTCAGCATAACCAGAATTACTGAGAAAAACAGTGTGCTGAAGGTATAGCAAGTCTCTCAGATTCTTGGAACATCTGCCATATTGCATACACATTGTTCTTGTTCCATCCAAAACATCCCAAAACACATGACCTTAAAAACTAGGAGAATCCTAAAAAATTATATATTGCACTATCTTTGAAAAGCCAATTCAAAAAGTAAACTATCGCTGTGTACTATATGCTGGGCAGCTGCACAGGAAAAGGTGCAAGGAAGAGGTTTGCAAATGGTCAAGTGTTAAGAAGAAACCTCCCACTAGATGGCTCACAGGGTCCTTCCTGCATGCATGAAGGTAGGAATACCTGACCCAGCAACCAGGAAAATAAAAATCTGTAATAAAAAAAGAAATCACACTCAGAATTTGCCATGACTGTGCAGTCCTCTGCAGCTATGAACACTGAAAAACATCATGCTGGAATTCATATAGCTCAGTCTTAATCCCTACCTAGTCCATGACCTTGTCTAGATTCCTAAAATATAAGAGCAAAGAGCCACTAGGGGATATAGGTGACTTCTAAGGTTTTTGTTTGTATTTCTACACAATATATTTAGCAACACATTTTGTTTTCAGAACTGTGCCATTTTAATCCCTTAATTAGTTTGTTTTCAGAATGTCTTTTATTACAAAGGTAGAGCTAAAGACATAGAAAATGGCAGGGTTAAGAGACCATCTAGCATTTTGTGCACACACACACACACACTCACTCATAACATCCACTTTATTGGATAGCTAAAAATAGCATGTACACATATCCTAATTCAAATACACTGTAAAACAAACAACGACAACAAAAAAAGCATACTGCATTGTTATTGGCCAGTGCTAGAGTTGACTGCATTTTTTGTTCTTATGCTGCGCTGGGTTTGGCTGTGACAGAGTTAATTTTCTTCACAGCAGCTAGTATGGGACCTTCATCTCCTTAAAGAGCACTTGGAAAAGCTTGCAATCATTATGAATAGGGGACTAAACCATGAGAAACAGAATCCTTGTGGATGCAGGATGCCCTGTGTGCAAGTTGGGCTTTCACATATCTTTCGTATACCCTCATTCTTTTAATGGCAACAAAAACCTAAAAGGACAGCAGTGCTCCATAAAAACCACTGCAACTTGCTATCATGCACTCCAAATAACCATTGTAGATTGTCATATGATTAAACTACAAGAACACAAGACTATGGAAATTATCTGCATTGCTCTTAATTACTGTGGCTGATTGCTATTGCAAGGTGACACTCGTGTATAGATGAAATGTTAAAAGCTAATTATAACTTTGGTATTACAAACAACACCAACATGACAGTACAAGACCCTAATACACACAATGAACAATTTCTCTTCCATTATTTAAGACTTCTACGACAATACAATGACACAAAAATGCCCCAGGAACTAACAGATTTTTTTTTAGTATCCTGACACCACCAGGCATTTTGGCTATGAAACAACAGTATTATATTTATTATTTATTATTTATATTTATATAATGTAAACATATCATATATTATATGGTTGTTATTATTACAAAGTACACACTCCATTTGAATGTAAAATATTGCCTACATTAAGAAACTCATTAGGAAATTAAATAATGAAAAGCTTTATCAACTTAATTAACTGGATTTTGTGGGTCATCAGATAACTTTTCTGTTTTGACATTCAAAGACCTATTATTCCTAAAATTGGGGTGCTGTAATTAGTATGTCATTGACAGAAATATCTGAGACTACTAACTTTCTGCTAGACGATGATCACGTACCGTGAGAACAGAACTCTACTTCTCAAATATGGTTTGTGAAACCAAACCATCTTGTTGACCTTCCATACTGAACAAAAGGACAGGAATTGGTATTGTTGCTAGTAGTTAAAAAGCATACCGACAAACAAAACTTGCCAATTTATGCAGCAAATCAAATATTAACACACCCCAAAACCACAGAAAAAACGTAACTAACCTTTTTCAGCCTCTTTAGTTAGGTAAAGATTAAGCATTTTAAAGCACTTAACCTTGTTCATGTTGGGCAAATACTTAAGGTGAATGAAAGTTCAAATAAATAGATCTAAATTTTGTAATATATTGATAATTTTATTCAGTGATGGTAAAAGTTACATCTTCTAAAGATGCAGTTTTATGGCTTTTCGGTTTCCACTACTTAATTGAGCTACCAAAAATATCTTTAATATATCTGGCCTTACTAATACAAAATACAGAACATTCTACTCCAAGAACTAATTCCTCAAAAGTGTACTTAATTTTTTTCCAAAAATGTGCAAGATGTCATATAATCATCATGTTCTCCATGTGATCTTAAAGAGCTAAGTGACAAAAGTTTGTCTTACAAAGGCACATTAAAGTTCCCAAACCATTTAACTGCCGTTAAAATACCTGCAGAAATTACTCCTCCTCTGAGACTTACTGATTTCAGTTTCCTCAGAATTGAAATTCCTCCCCATCATTCAGCATATTCATAAAATCAAAGCAGACTATTTCAAAGGAATTTCTTGAAAAACTCAGATAAATGTCATAAAAACTAATTTCTGCGATTCTGAAGTGCTGATCACAAGGGAAGTCTGCTGTCCACTCCTAGAACTAACTTTACTGTAATAAACCTACTGATAAGAAGGACAACTGTACTACAGTCATGTTGTAGCATCTAGTACTACAGCTTTGCAACATCACTGTAATACAAATGTAGGTTTTTAAGTAGGATCTTGATTTGATCAGGTGAAACCTGATAAAATGAAGGAAACGGTATGTGGTATAATCTGAATTGAAAAAACACCCCAAACACCAGCAGGTTTGCAAATCTCACAAGTAAAAAAAAGAATGACAGAAAGGAAAGTATATCTGCTGTGTGGGAAGAAATGCAAAGAACAAAAAAGACAATCTGCACAAAGAACCATAATCTAACTGTATACTTTAGCTTTGTTTTTGATGAGATTAACACACAGGAAGACTGGAACACTTGAACTGAAACAGGTTGCCCAGAGAAGCTGTGGATGCCCCATCCCTGGAGGTGTTCAAAGTCAGGCTGGATGGAACTCTGTAGAACTTGGTCTAGTGGAAGGGGCTTCTGCCCACAGCAGGGGTGTTGGAACTAGGTGATCTTTAATGTCCCTTCCAAACAAAACCACTATATGATTCTATGACTAAGTAATAGGAACGAGGGTATGGAAAAGTAAATGATCAAGATGGAAGCAAAGTAAAAAGAACTTATTGCACCTATACTGGGGGAATGGGAATAAACTAAATCCCAGAACACAAAAGTAATTTCTCCAACAGTCACAAATCTGTAGAGAACTGCAGATGCTATTCCTGGAGTCTAGAACCATAAACATACTGCCTGGACTGAGGAATGAAAAAGCATTCAAAGCTCTTTTGATATAAGGTAGTGCATGGCATGCACAGCTTCAGAGAATATTATAAAGTGAAAACATTTCAAGAGAGAAATGACTATGATTTGCAGGAAAGGAAACTGGAATATCAAAACACATCAAGTCAGGCAATGGGAAATTGTTTATTTGTTATATATGATCACTAGAATGATAAAAATGAAACAAAACTTTCCAGTTCAAAAGCATGGGCCAGCAATTTGGGACCAATAAGAAAATATGAAATAAACTGAAGATCATCAGTTGATATAAACAGAAGAAACACAGATCTGTCACTATGATCAAAATGGTTACCAGAAAACAGTGTGATAGAATTGGGAGAAAGTTATTTCCAGAAAAGA